CCTTCCTTCCTCTTTGTTTGCCTGCCTCTCTCTCCCTCCCTGTCTCTCTCTCTTTCTTGTTCTGGCTTTGTTGCTCAGGCTGGTCTTGCCCTTGTGAGCCTCGGCCTCCTGAGTACCTGGGATTATAGGTCTGTGCCACTGTGCCTGGCCTCCAGTACCCTTGTTCTAGTGTTCTGCTTCTGCTTCACAAGAAGTACACGCATAAAGTCAGGTAAAATATTCAAATCCAATGATAATTTAAATTGTTCATATTAACTTAATATTGCCATGTATAATCAAGAATGGCTAGTGGCTAGTTGTGTTTATTTAAAAGCAGTAAAGTTAAGAAAGTTTTGCGGGGTGTGGTGGTGCATGCCTGTAATCCCAGCACTCAGAAGGCTGAGGCAGGAGGATCACTAGGCATTTAAGGCCAGCCTGAACTACGTAGCACGTCCCTGTCTCAAAAGAAAAGCAAATGTAAACATCTTGAAGTTCATCACTAGAAATGCTCAAAAGTTTATGTAGGTCGTAGTAAGGTCCTCCCATACTTCATCGCAATATTTGTAAAAGGTATACATTTTATGTAATTCTGTTAGCTAATAGCATTTATATTCTGTTTTATGAAAAGGAAATAGTGTTTTACTGAAGTTTCATTAAAATGATGTTTGCAAATGGAAACAGTAATTAACAGTATTTTCATTTTTTTCCAGTGTGCTAAAACATTTATAAATCTGATGACTCACATTTCCAAAGAGCAGACGGTGCAGTACATACTGACTATGGTTGATGACATGCTGCAGGTGTGTATAATCTTCGCTTAATGCCTTCGATGAGCTCATCGTTTTAGGCACTTGACGGTAACTGCCTTTCTGTGAGGTTTTGCTGACAGCATGGACTTGTGGAGCACAGTGATGAAGTTTTCTTAACTTTGTGAAAATGAGTTGTAATTAGTTGCAGATATGCTCACACAGCCTTGATGTTTTGCAGAATATCAGTAATCAGTATAAATTTTTTCTTGAGATACCTAAGTTTTTCTGTTTAATCCTGCGCCAGCACCATTTGGCCTATGACTTGATGCTTTTTAGATGTCCTGTGTACTTTCAGATGACGCGGCTCCTGTCTTCTAGGCACTCAACAGATTTTCATGCCTTTGTGTTCGAGGGCCAGCGCCAGACACGGGATTCAGTGCTTTTGTTCTTTCGAATAGATTTGCTTACCATCTGAAACTTTATAGCGTTTGCATAAAGTGTCTGTTTACGGGTTTAATTGCCCCTGTACACAGAAGGGCCTTTTCGTAATGTGTGTTTTATGCCAGGGGATAATCTAGGCTTCGATTGTTGGTGTATAGAATGAGTCTTAGGAGCAGGCCAGCTGCTGAGTCTGGTGCCTGCCTGCATGTGTCAAAAGACTTGAACAAAAGTGTCAGTGGGTGCTTTGGGAGCGTTGCTCTGCCAGTTTGTACACACACACACACACACACACACACACACACACTGTATTGATGACCTACTGTTTGACGTGCACTGTGGCCTGTACTGGGGACAGAGAAGTTACGAGGAATGGTACTGGGAAGCCATCATGTCAAGAAGGCGGTGATTTTGTAATGTGAGGAAGGATTAGTATCCCTCCTAGGCTGATGCAGACTTCTCTCATAATGATCTAAGCAGATGCACACCTGATAATAACTTTTCCCCTTGAAGTAGTAGCGTTGAGAAAAACAAAAAGGGCATGGTCTGCCTTAGTTACCTTGGTTATATATCATACACGCGTTCGCATTTCCTGTAAAAATCAAAGTAGAAAGCAAATAGAACAAGTGACTCCAGCAGTTTTTTAAGAAGAGAACATGTATCAGAAGAACATGTATAATTTTCTCTTAACACTTGCATAGTTTGACACAATTGTCCAGCACCATGCAAAAAAAGGAAGTATGATTAACATTAAACTCTTAACACAAATACTGCCACATTTTTAATTTTTCTTACTTCTAGCAAATTAAAGCAACACCTAGATTTCATCTTACTCTAGAAAGAATGGCTATCCAGAACTCAGAACCCAGCAGATGCTGGCGAGGTTGTAGGGAAAAAGGAATTGTTGTATGTTGTGTGAATGTAAACTAGTACAGCCACTATGGAAATCAGTATGGAGATTCCTCAAAAACTAAATATAGAAATTCCATTTGTCCCCCCTGTACCTCTTCTGGTTATCTTCCTGAAAGATACTACATTGATACAAGTTCTTTTCTTAAAAAACTGTTGGGTTCATTTGTTGTATTTGCTTTCTACTTTAATTTTTTCCCTCACCTTTGTGTATTTTGTCATTATTTGTGAGTGTATAAAATGTTAACATGCTTCAAGTGAGTCAAAATTGTACAGCAAGTTATACTAGAGGGAAGTCCCTAACCTTATTCTGTTCGTTGTTCCCTGTTCTTACATATGTGATTGTGTTTGACCAGTGTCAAAAGGTTTTGGTTTAACATTCTTGTTTTGTTTTTGTTTTTGTTTTTTTTTGGAAAATTTAGGCAGCTACTTGTCTATTTTATTTACCCTTTTTTTTTTTTTTTTGGTTTTTTGGTTTTTTTCCCCGGAACCAGGAACCGAACTCACGACCTTGTGCTTGCCAGGCAGGCGCTTTGCCGCTGAGCTAAATCCCCAGCCCCTACCCTTTTTATTGTACAAAATACTTACTGGATAGGCTCTTATTTTTTGCTTGTTTCACTAAACAAAGTATGCCAGATCCACATACTAGTTCACAGAGATTTCTTACGTTCTGTTTTTGACAGCTACACAATACCCCAGTTGTGGCTACACCAATGTTTACTTAACCAGTCCTGATGTTCTGACATTGAGTTTGGTTCTGGTGTTTCACAATCATAAATAACAAAGTAGACAATAACCTTGCACAAGTGTGTTTTTGTGTTGTTGGGAGCACACCTCATGGTAACTTCTCAGACTCTGGGTTACTGGGTAAAAGGCGGATTAGGTGTTGTTTTGTTAACATACTGCCCACCAGTCCACCTTCACTCCCAGCAGCATGTGGGAATTCCCACCAGAGTGTGTGTTTCCCTGTGGCTCTGCCAGGGGAAGGTGTTGCCAGGCTGTTGTATTTTTGCCAATCACAATGGTGTCTGGAGTTGAACACCTTTGGCTGAGCACCTTTGGATGTTATAAAAAAGGGACCTTTATATCTTTTCTTCCCCCTTGGAATTATTTATGTCTTTGCCCTTTTTTTTTTTTGTCTTTTCTGTCAGGGATTAGATCTTTTATCTCCTTGGAGTAATTTCTGTTTATTTTTTGGGGGTACTGGGGCTTTATGCATTTAGGTAAGTGCCCTACCATGGATCCACATGGCCAGCCCTACCCCTCAATTTTTAAGAATTTTTTGTATCGAGGGATGTTTCTGTAGGGTATAGAACAAATGTTTTTTCCAGGTTTATTTATTTTTTCACTTTCCTTATGGTATCTTTTTGAATGCCAAAATTTGTTTTTATCATGTAGTCTAACTTATCAGAATTTTTAATCTGGATTTTTGAGTCATAGAAAGTTTTCCTTTTTTCTTTCTTTTTGTTTTTGAGACAGGGCCTCACTGTGCAGTTCAGGCTGGCCTTGAACCTCACTTTGTAGCCCAGGCTGGCCTCACACTTTTGGTGGTCCTCCTGCCTTTGCTTCCTGAGTTTTTCTTTTTTTGGGGGAGGGGTAGGTTTTTTCCGATACTGGGAATTGAACTTACGACCTTGCACTTGCCAGGCAGGCGCTGTGCCACTGAGCTAAGCCCGAGCCCCTGGGTTTTTCTTCATAGCTAAGTTATTGTAGAATTCATCTGTGCCTTCTTTTAGTACTTACATAGTCTCATTATTTTGCGTTTGGATGTTCGATTCATTTAGGGTTGGTTCTTGTGTGTGGTGTAAGGTAGCTTTTCATTGTTTTCCAATGACCGTTCAGTTGCTCTGGCGTTGTTTTCCTGAGATATTTCTCTCTCACCATGGCACAGTGCTGCCTTTGACAGGAAGCCTCCCCTGTATGTAGGCATGACTTTGAGCATTCTGTACAAGCGCTGGTGAACTTAAGGCACGGCTATTGCAGTGGGCTCTTTACCACTGACAGTGCTGGAAGCTGGCCGTCGCCGTCCTGTGCTGTTCTTTTGCAATGCCTGTGTGAGCATGCCCAGTACCACCCGGGTTTAATTATAGAGGACCCTGGGCCTGGCTCCCTCTGTAGCTTTCTTTTTTACCTTCAGTATTTTCCTTTTTTTTTTTTTTTTTTTTTTGATACGAGATTGAGCATGAGCTTCTCTGGGTCTATAAAGTAGTTCATTGGCGTTTAAAAATTTATAAATTAACAGGGTAAAATGACACTGTTATGATACTGACTTTTCTACCCAAGAACAAGAGATGTCACTCCATTTGTTCAAGTATGTGTTCATGTCTTCAGGTGTTGTTAATTCTTGCTTTATTGGTAATCTGCTTTAAGAAATTTGCTTTGGAGCTAGGATTGAGCCCTTCTTACGTACGCTGAGCTCGCGTTCTGCTCCGGAACTTTGCCCCGCTCCCGGCCATTTTTCATAGTGTCTGTGATTTCTAACAGTCAGTGGGCTTACTCCATTTCCTCTTTTTTCTTTCATTCTAGAATTGCAGTTTTTACTTTGTCAGAACATTTGTATATTAATTTTATGTTCATGTATTCAGTTTTCACCACTGGACTTTTGCCGAGGTCTTCCCAGGGGTCTTTTGATTGGATGAAGCCAATACGTTCTTCGGGAAAAGTACGCTACTCTTCTTTTTCTGTAGTCTATAAATTCGTAGGATAGTGTCGTTGATGTAGAATTATTGGTGTTCACAGTTCTTTGACATTTAACTTTTTCTCTCTTGAGTATCTTATATAGTAGTTTACATTTATTTATTATACAGTGCTGGGGGTTGAATCAAGGGTCTTTTTTTCTTTTTTTTGAACCTAGGGTCTTATATATGCTAAGTGCTCTGCTGCTAAGCTATGTATCCCCTAGTCATATTTTTTTTTTTTTTCTTTTTCTGAGAGTAGTCTTACTATGTTGCCCTGGCTGGCCTTGTACTCTTTTTTTTTTGGTCTTTTTGAGACAGGGTCTCACTATGCAGTTCAGGCTGGCCTTGAGCTCACTTTGTAGCCCAGGCTGGTCTCGACCTCACAAAGATCCTCCTGCCTCAGCCTCCCTAGTGCTGAGATCACAGGAGTGTGCCACCACACCCGGCTGACCTTGTACTCTTAGTACAAGAGATCCTCCTGCCTCAGCCTCTTGAGTAGCTGGAATGATAGGTGTGTGCTACTGTGCCAAGCTTCAGTTTTAAATTTTGAGCCTATTTGTTGGGTTTTCTTTTCTGTTTTCAGTGATGGCCATTCTAAGTGGAGTAAGATGGAGTCTCAAGAGTTGTTTTGATAAGTATTTCCCCAGTGACTAAGGACGGTGACCATTTTTTCATGTGCTTATTAACTGAGATGTTTCTTCTGAGATGTGCCTGCTCATTTCATTTGCTCATTTTTTTGATTAGGTTGTTGATTTTTTGGGGTCAGATTCTTTTAGTTCTTTGTATATTCTAGGTATAGTCCTCTCTCACAAGAGTAGCCAGCAAATTTTTCCCGCCGTTTTGGAGGTTGTGTCTTCCCTCTTCTGCTTCCCTTGCTGTGCAGAAGCTTTCTAGTTTGTGTCAGTTCCAGTGGTTGGCTCTTGGTATAGTTCCGTGCACGGTTAGAGCTCTTCTCAGGACCCTGCTTGTGCCTGTGGCTTTGGAGTTGCTCCTGCGCTGTCCTCCACAAGTTGCAGTTTCTGTGCTGATGTTGGCCCTGGTGTATTTTGATTAGATTTTAGTACAGGGGCAGAGGTATCGGTCTAATTTCATTCTTCTGCACATCAGCAACCAGTTTTCCCAGCACCATTTGTTAAAGAATTGAGTTTTTCTTCAGTGTATGTTTTGGGCCCCTTTGTCAAAAATCAGAAGCCTGAAGGTGCGTGGGGTTGTTTCTGTACTACCGTGCTGTGTTGTGCCCGTGTCATGCCCTTTTGTTATTGTAGCTTTGTAGTATACCTTAAACTTGAGGCTTGCGTTGCCTTCCCTTTTGCTCTTACTGCTTAAGTTTTCTTTGTCTGTTCTGGTCTCTTCTGGTTCCATATAAATTTAAGCATTTTTTTTCTAGTTCCGTAAAGAATGTTGCTGTTATTTTAATAGGGATTTCATTACACCTGTACATTGCTTTGGTAGTATGGCCGTTTTAATGATGCTAATTGTAGCTATCCAGGAACAGGGATATCTTCCTGTTTTCTAATGTCCTCTTGGTCTCTTTCTTCCGGTTTCTATAGTTTGCACTGTAGAGGTATTTTACCTCCCTGGTTAGGCAGATTCATAGGTATTTAATTTCTTTTTTGAAGCTGTAGGTATGCGTACTTTGTTGGTGGTAGTAGGGTAGAAACAGTGTTAGAGGTACAAGCCTACAAGAAATAGAACTTGTATTTCCAAACCTTGTGTGTTAGAAGAATCGTAATGGTGATTTTATTTGTAAAGAACATTTCCCCACCAACGTCTCACATAATAATAATGACAGACACAAATTATATACACAATGGAAAAAGAACGTACAGGGACGGAATAAGGAATGAAAGGGTGAGAAGCAGTTCACAGTTGTTACATTCTTTAGTACAGTTCATTTGGACTGGTGCTATAATTTCTCTTCTATTTTAGGAGAATCACCAGCGCGTCAGCATTTTCTTTGATTATGCAAAACGCAGCAAGAACACTGCCTGGCCCTACTTTCTGCCAATGCTGAATCGCCAGGATCCCTTTACTGTTCATATGGTAAATTTTGTAATGATCATATTGTTAGACAATACAATATATGTAATATACGCACATACAATACATATATGAAGGGAATTTTAAAAATTGCTTTGTTATTTTTAAATTGACGGATACAAACCGGGGCTCTTGATGACTCGGTAACCTTCTTGTCCCCCGAGAATAACGGCCGTGACATTCGCTTTCCTTAATGGTGTTCCCTAAAAGGGGGACCTCCGTAAAAGCGGAGTTGTAAGATACGGTTGCTCTGAGGCAGTGAAAAGTTTCGTAGATTACTGGGTGAGTTAATTAACATTAAATGCTGTGTAAACAGCTCAGAACTGTCTACGACAGGATTAACCACATTTTCCTATGGTGAAATTAAATTTTGCTTTGAGGCGGCTACTCTGTTCGACTTTAATTTATTAGTTGCTTTCTAATACCTTTTTTTTATTTTAAAAATAAAAGGAGGAAAACATTAACAGACAGACAGCCTTTTACAAAATAGCAAAAGAACAGTACAGACAATACAGAGTTACAAACAAAGTGGTAGGAAATTAACAATGCTTGTTGTATTACATATTGATATCTTCAAAGTGGTTTCTCATGAAAACAGAGACATGCAATATTGATTAATCAAGGACTCATTGACCGTTTCTTGCAGCAAAGAAATAGAAGACAGTAGAACAACCGTGTTAACTATCCTTCATATACATATATACAAAATTTCTCCTTCTTTCCCTTCTCTTTTCCCACATCCCAATTGCCCTTTACCCTTGAGTGTTTTCCTATCATTTCACAATGTCTATCATACCTCTGAGTTTAAATTAACTCTTTCAGGTTTTACACTAGTGAAACAATGTGGTGCTTGCACATGTATGTCTGATTTATTTCACTTATGAGTATGGTCTCTAGTTGTGACCATTTACCTATAAAAGCCTCGAGTTTATCTTTCTTTATAGCTGAGTAATATTCTGTTATATAAAAGTACCACAATTTTCTTATCCAATCCTCTGTGGATGGACATTTGGGTTGCTTCCACAATTTAGCAATTACAAATTGTGCTACTTTCTAATACCTTAGGTATTCTTGTTTTATTTATTTATTTATTTATTTATTGTTTTTTGATGTTTTTCCCGTACCAGGAATCGAACGCACGACCTTGCGCTTGCCAGGCAGGCGCTGTGCCACTGAGCTAAATCCTCAGTCCGGTATTCTTGTTTTAAACTTACCTTCAGGAGCTGTGCTTGACAGCGCCGCACTGAAGAATCTTTTGTGGGTTCCTAGGGGTGAGAGTAAACCTTCGCGCAGAGCCGCCTCCGTCTCCAGGGAGGAGTGGGCTGCACGTGGGTGGGCGGTGTTGCGGGGCCGCTTGTTTCAGGATGCGACTTTAGTGCTCTCTCCTACTTCCTGCGCATGCGTCTGTGTTTATACCCCAGTGTATTCCGGTACCGTGCAGGACGTTAGGAAACACAAAAAGAGAAAGGAGCAGTCCTGAACTAAACAGCCTCTTTCAGGAATAAATTTTAAAAAATCAGTCATATATTTTCTTCTTTAAAATTGAAAAGGCTTGTTTTCACTGTCTGGACACTGGTTTAAATAGCTTTCTGGTGTTACAGTAAAATTGAAAATATATATTAAAGAACATCCAGGGGCTGGGGATGTGGGTCTGTGGTAGAGCTGTTCCCTTGCATGCGCAAGGCCCTGGGTTTGATCCCCAGCACCACAAAAAACCCCAAAAAACTAAAAAACACAGTCAGGGCAGGGTTTATTATTACTATTAAATGTACAGTTAAATCCAAGCGAACATCTTGATGGTGTAAATACTTGGAGCCGCCTTTCTAAAATTTTGAGGATCAGGTGGTTGTGGAATAGCGGGTGGTGACGGTGCAGACCTGCGGTACGAATGTGAGAGCTCCTGTTGCTTTGTCTTTTTCGTTTTGCTTCTGAACCTCTAATGCTCTAAACCTCTGCGTTCCTCACAGTAACCCCTTTCAGGAAGTTCTTCATTTTCTGAAAGTTTTTACTGGCTTTAAAATGAATCCTGAATCTTATTTTTGAAATGTAAAAGAAATCTGGGGAATGTCCTGAAATTCTTAAAACACAGCTAGTTTCAGTTCACTTTAATGGAAATATTTAAAAATATATTTTGAAAGTTTGTACTTAAGAGTAAATTATAAAAGATGATTTATAGACGTTTTTGTGGGAATTGAGTGTTAACAAAAATCGTGTCTCAAAGTGCGTGTAAGTTCTGGCTTTAAAGGTGTGTGATGGGATTTTTAGAGTCGCTGTGGTAGTCAAATATATTTCTTATTAACTTTCAGGCCGCGAGAATCATTGCCAAGTTAGCAGCTTGGGGAAAAGAACTGATGGAAGGCAGCGACCTCAATTACTATTTCAACTGGATAAAAACTCAGCTGAGCTCACAGGTAACAGATTTCCTCTAGCATCTTTGAGAGAAATATAACGCACTGTTCCCTTATTCACAGTGAGGGTGTTACGTTACAGAAGACACGTTATTAACGTGGCGCCAGGCCGCACTTGCTGAATCCGCCAACTGCTCCTGGGCGTGGTGCGTCTCGCCCTCCTCTCCTCGCCTGTCTTCACTTCACACCTTTCTGCCTTTTCTTGGGCTCTTGTCCCCACCCTGGGGCTCAGTGGTCAGGGAGTGTCTTCCTTCCGGGCAGCTGCCAGAGCACACAGCCTGGAGAGCTGAAAGCCTGCGCCCCTCCAAGGAGGCGCTCGCGTGGGGCCCTTCCTCCGGGAGGGAGGGGTGCCGCAGGGGAGAGCGTGTGGGGTTCCAGGCCGAGAGACTTGCAGGTGCAGCTCGCACTGCTGCCCGCCAGGATCTGTGCAAGAAATGTGGGTGTGGGGCCGGCTCTGTGAGCAGTCCTGGTGGGCGAGGTCTTCGTGCCCTTTGGTTACCTGAGCAGGCCAGACTGTCTGCCTGGGTGCGTCGGCGAGCGCGCTGGCTCGGGGTGCCGCCGGGAGCTGCGCTCCGTGAGCAGCGCGGTACGGAGCGCGTCAGTCCCCGCGTGTCCTTGTCTTGGCCAGGGGCCTGGGCCAGGCTTGCAGCGGTCTCTGGTAAGTCTGGCTAGGCCCAGTGCAGCGGGAGAGGGTTCTGTCGCCCCGCGGCTCCTTCTGGGCCGCGCAGGGCGGCTGTGGGGTGGGGCCTGCTGCTCGCTCGCCGTGGCTGCTTCGAGGTCTTCTGGCTCCTCTCGGTGGCCGAAGCAGGTTGCTTAACGGCTTGGAAAGGGGCACGTTTTGTGTTTATCTCTGGGAGTCCTCAGAGCGGGGCAGAGGCAGGACATCTGCGGTGGCTCTTTGCAGGGTTTATTTGGGCTTCCGGTGCCCGGCAAGTGTGTGGGTACAGCTTGGCGGCGCGCTGCGCGGAAACGGAGTGGTGAGGACGAGCCGGAGGGGAGTGTTCCGGGAGGAACGGCAGAGGAGAGTGAGATTTGGGGGGTGGGCGGCAGAGGGGAGTGAGACTAGGAAGATGGCATTGGTGGGTGTCCTGTTGCCGTCTGTAGACTAGCAGATGTCTGTTCAAAATACAGTTTTGGAAAGTTGTAACTGAGGTTTCTGGTGACCCCGTTATTTTAATAGGTTTTAATTTGAGGCATAAGAGAGATACTACGACAATTCACTTAGATTTATTTTGGTCTTACTGTTGTTTGCCTACTTGTGGGCTACTTGCCTTTTACATTTGGATAGAGATATTTTAGAGTGTCTTGAGTAAAATTAACTCTTTTTCATGACTGTAGTTTTATAAAGTATTTTTGGAAGGGCCACCAGTTTGAAGATTTTATGGTGCTTGTGAGGGTATTTTTAAAAACAAAGTATTTAAAGTGTAGAAAAGTAGGTGTGTGACAATGAGATTCAAATTTCTAAATGTGTATCATTGGACTCAGAATGCTTGAATAGGAAATACACCCTCCCCTTTTGTTTTGCTTTTGAAATTATCCCTCTTTTTAAATAAAACTCATGCTGCTTTATTGTTAGTTTTCTTGCTGGGTGTGGTGGTGCCTGGTAAGGCTCTTTTGTAGCAAAACTGACGCAGTGCAAATTGAGAGGGAAGAGTGTACTGCCGTAGTGTACCGTTAGCTTTCAGGCAGTTCACCTGAGGCTTGTGCCCCTAGTGCTGTCATTTTACAGTGTCTCACAGCTGCTGTGTCACTGCAGGAGTGGCGAACGTCACGTACTAGTTAGCTGGCTGCAGCCGTGTCCAACAGCGGGCGGAACTCACTTCTGTCATCACTGGTGTAAGAAAGTACTTCAGTGTCTAGCACGGTTTTACTGGAATTGAGCTCCTTGGTCTTAGATAAATGCCTTCAAGACCTTTTCTGGGTCTTTCTCGTATACTTTTCCTGTCATAACCTTCAGCTTTCCGTTGAGTTTGGCATTTCTGCTTTGCAGATCCAACTCGAGGCCGACTCTTCAGGGCACCAGGCGTAGTCTGGCTTTCTCCTCTGTGTGACTCCTTCTCTGTGGCCCTGACCGCGGCTCCTGGTCTGGGGAGGTGCTTGTTTCATGGCCTTTGACTGGGGTCACGTTGAAGACTTGTTCAGGGAAAGTGGCAGGAGGATTTGCCGTCTTCCTTAGATGTCATACATTAGTGCCGGGTGTGTCATATGATAGTGCTGCTTTTCTCTACCGTAAGTGTTCTATCTCTCATAAAAATGATCATATTTTCATGATTCTGGGAGAAATAAACTTTCAAAAAGTATCAGTTAGTTGCAGGTTTGGATATTTTGTTCTTTGATTTTATAATACAGCGTTTTGGAAGATATATACTTGGTAGTTATTGAATAAAAGAAAATACACATTTCCTTTCAGAAGCTCATTATCTCTTCTTTTGTTGTACTTCTGGCCTTTGACTTTCTGACTTCTGTTTTCTCTGGTCATTCTGTGTAACATCTGATATGTTGATGATTAGCATTATTAGCATTGCTGTGGAAAACCTAATTTTGAATCGCGTAGTATGTTCCTGTCATCAGGCACCTGTTTTGAAAAGCTTTGTCACAAAAGATGATGTAGCTCTTTCAGTGTAGACAGTCATCTTATTAGAAAAAAGTTCAGTATGTAAATCTTGAGATGGAGATTTTTGCTAGCGTGCCTTACGGAATTTAGCTGGAGCTTAGCATTCACATTACTTGTTACTCCATTTTTAGTGCTATAGTAACGTATTACCTGGAAGAGTACAACATTTAGAATGTTTCATATCATCCCATGTCTTTTATAAAGTAGGACTAGGGAAAATGCTTCTAAAATTCACGTAGCTCCCTTTGTGAACTGGTAAAGCAGGTACAGTTTAAAACAAATCTAAGTAATAAGTCGTTTGTTTCGCAATAGAAACTGCGCGGTAGCGGTGTGGCCGTTGAACCAGGAACAGTCTCTTCCAGTGACGTGAGTACCTTCCTCCCCCATTCACCGCTTCCTAGCGCCCTTCCTCCTCCATTCACCGCTTCCTAGCGCCCTGCAGATGAGTAGTTTGAGTCACAGGTACCGACAGCTTTGCAGGTGTTTATTAGTTCTCAGAGTGTGAATCCGTGGGTGTGACGCGTCCCCGCCTCTCCTTAGGTTCATTGCATTGTCTAAGTGTATGTACATATTTATGGTCACTTTCTCTGCGGTAGACGTGAGAGTTGTCCTTCCCTGTTCTTGGCTTTGGCCTCTGAATTTAGAGCTGAGACTCAAAGCTAGAGCTTAAGTGTAGATGTACACTGGAGCAGATAATAGTGAAGTTACTCTACACGTCAGCTGTCTGGTGACCGCGTGTCCGTCTAGCCAAGAGCTTTGATGTTGACGGTACACCAGATGCCTGACAGGACTGAGGCCATCGCATTGTGCTGCCCAGGGCCTCGCAAGGACGGAGTGTGAGCAGGCGTGGCCCGGTCACTGCCGGTTCCCAGAAGCCTCTTCCCACGTACGTGAGCCACGAGGCTGAAGCGTAAGACTCATCCTGGCTCCCCGGGCTCTGGCTAATGTCCTCTTTCCCAGTTGGGGAAGGTTCCACTTCGCTGTGCTCTAACAGCCAGGAGCTGGCGGCCAGTGACGCTGGCACGATGGGGCCAGCTGACAGGAAAATGGGAGGAGGAGGCGGAAGTGAGGGTGAGGTTCGTGTAGCTTCAGTGGTTGGAAATGCTCCCGAGACCTTACAAAGCATCTTCAGAGAAGAGTGTCTACAAGCTGCCTACGATAGACGGAAGTGAGACTTGGAGAGACTGTTTAATATCTGAACTCATTACCAGAGCTCCCATGATGGGAATAGAACCTACGTCTATGTGTGATCTGATCTGTAGCGGAGCAGTCCTTTTCAGAGGCAGGCGCGGGCCTTCCCTTTGGAACCTGGCTTGAAGCTCTGACAGACAGTGCCTTGGCCCGGAGAGGGACTCCAAAGTAGCCAGGAAAGCTGTAGAAGTAGAAGAGCAGCCATGGGGCCAGGGTGGGGGGAGGAAATGGCAGATAGGAGGTTTTATTAGGAGATACTAATACTATATGGCTTGAATTTATGCCAGTTTGAAATTCAGAAAGATTGTGTGAGGCATTCTGGTATATTAACCAAAAAGATACTTTCAAAATCATTTGCCTTATAGAGTTATTTAACTACTTGTGCAAGTATTTGCAAGTTATTAAAGCTTACATAATACAAGGTCTGCTGAAATGGTATTTTTTTTTTTTTTAGACAGGGTCTTGCTCTGTAGTTCAGGCTGACCTTGCACTCACTGCATAGCCCAGGCTGGCCTCAAACTCACGGCAATCCTCCTGCTTCAGCCTCCTGAGTGCTGGGATTAGAGGCATGTGCCACCAGGCCCGGCTGACACGATATTCTTAACTTTGCTTTCTTCTGTCAAAATGTGTTGGAGAAGCCAAACTGATGGAGTTGGCAGGGTCAGAGTGGTTTGTGTGGGAGACGCGTGTACATACGTTCCACGTGGGATGCGCAGCAGGGTTGCTGGGGTGAGGTGGAGACGGCCTTCGACTGTCCAGTCGGTTCCCTTCAGTGCCCCGCAAAGCTGGGTGTATTCTGTGACGTTCCCAGTGCTTATTTTTCAGGTTGCTGTCAGCTTGCAAAGCAGGTCTCAAGTTGAGAAGAGTGTCATCCCTGCTTTTGATACTTGTATTTTAATGGGCAAATCTTAAGCTGAGATCAGTATTTGTTGAACACTAACTGTGTGCCGGGCACCGTTGTACTCATTTTATGTTAGTTTCGCCTTGAGTAGTTACACTGTTTCTTCTCTGTGGGTTCTACTGTGGCCCCATTTTACGGATAAGCAGTGGTCCGAGCAGGAAAGTGCACCAGCATGTCCAAAGTCGCACAGCACCTGTGTGGCAGATACCCTAACAGAATGAACTGCTTGGAGTGGTTGTTGAGGCATCTGACTAGAGTTGGCTCTTTAGATATCCCTCACATCATACCGCCTGCTCAGATGGCCTTAATATATCAGTATTTTGTGTTAAGATCCCTGTCTGTCTGCAGAGTGGGGAAGAGCAGTTCGGTAAGGTGCATCATTCGATGTTGCCACGTGGTGGCAGTATGCAACAAACAAACAAGTTGTGCGCAGCAAAATGAGAACCGCCACTCTGTCCCTAGAAGCGTCGGCCAACGTTCTGAGTAGATCATTGCAAACAGCTCAGTTAATATTACGTACATGGCGGTTCCTTCGGATGTGTAATGTTGTCTTACTTAGTTGTGGAAATAATAGACAATCTCAGATGACACATGCTTAAGTTGCCTGTTCAGTTCTCCTCTGAATTTTGGAGTGAATTATAAATTTTATCTTCCTCTGAGGAAGCAGCACAGGCCGGGCAGTGGCTTGTTGGGGCAGTGCTGTGACAAAGAATACACAAGCTTTGCGAAATCTAGACTATGGGAAGTTTTGTTTCCCTTGCGGCATCACTTTTCCTCTGCCCACTTGCTTACATCGGTGGGTAGGAGACGCCTAGCTTTTTCATCTTACTGTGTCCTGTTCTTTGGTTACTTTTGTCATATATACAGTCTAGCTTACTTACTGTAGATAGTGTTTCGCTCATACTATCTTAAGTTGCCAGATTCTCTTTCTTCTTCTTTCTTGGCTTTTGGTATTTTGGAGCAGTTCTCTTCAGTGGAACTTCCTGTGATGGCGGAAGGGTTCTGTGCGTCCACACTGCGTTATGACAGCCACTAGCTGTGTGTGGTTCTGGGGTGCTCACAACGTGGCTAGTGTGAGGGAAGAAGTAAATTAAAAAAATTTATTTAGAGTAGCTTTAGTAGCTTTACTGGAATGTATTGCCCATAAGCTAGAAATTCATCCATTTATAGCTCACTGCTTTTTAGTATATTTAGAGTTGTACAGCATGATGATTGTGTGACTGTAGCAGCAAGGCCTTGGAGGTAGGCCTGGGAAGATAGAACTATGGGACTGTGGGAAGGGATGCGGGGAGGCCGGCAGGGTAGAAGCGACTTCTGATCCTGGGAGGGTCCCGTGTGTGACGTAGACCGTGTTGGAAACGTGAGCGGTGATTCTGAGCAAGGAGACCAGCCAGTGAGCTAGTAGGACCGCAGCTTTAAAATCTAAACTCTCTACTAAGATGGAGAAGGTGTGTGTGGGAGTCAGCTCCTTTAGGTCTTCGCTTTCTCGGCTTGGCTGCCCTCCACTTTGTCTCACCGATGCTTTGTGTTGCTCTTTCAGTCTGTGCTTCATTCATTTCAGCTCCGATCTTTATTATTCCCTTCTGTTAGGTTGAGTTTGCTCTTGTTTTGCGTATGTTGAGATGCATCATTAGGTTATTTGTCTGCAGTTGCTGATCTTTTGATGCAGGCATGCAGAGCCATAAACTTCTCTTTTAGAAAGACCCTGTCAGCCTGAAAAAGGAAAACCAATCAAAGAAAGAAAGAGAAAAATAATGAACTTTCTGTGGTGTTCGCAGCGCTGTGATAGCGTCCAAATTGGGTCCCTCCAAGTTTGCGTCGGCTCTGTGCTGGGGAGGGGCTGCTCTTGGCCTCTGGATGTGGAGGCTGGGATCGGTCTTCAGTGGGCAGCGTTCTGAACGTCTGCTTCTTCCCGAGTTGGTCTCGCGGTACCCTCCGGCAGGGAGAGCCCAGGGTTGCTCTCGGACCGCGTACAGTTGTGTCCTTCGGGGCCTTGCACAGCTTCCTCTGCTCCACGCTCTGGCCCCTCTTAGCCGCTGGTCGGAGGGCGCGGGGAGGGCCCCTGCCCACTGTGGGCAGGGCCGCTTGCCTGCTTGTGCCGTGTGTCAAGGCTGCTGGAGGAGCGTTCCCGTCCTTTGTACCTGGGGCTGAGAGGGGCGTTTGGCGACCACGTGAGGGATCTGGGTGGTCCCAGCTCCTCTCTCGGCGCAGTTCCCCCAGTCTGCGTCCCAGCTACTGCTAGTGCACTGTGACTGCACGGCTCTTCCCTTGTTCCTTGCCAGGGCTCTGGCAGTGACTGTCCTGGCGCTGGGGTTCTCTCTACCCCTTTGAAGTGAAGTGGCGGCCCCCGCTGCCCACTGCGGTACCCCGTGTCTGTGGAGAAGCACAGCACGGCTTCAGCTTCCCCTCCCGCCCCAGCTGCTGGCTCTGGGTGCCCGGGGATACGGTGTCCCGCTGCAGCCCCGGCCGCAGCGTGCTGGTTGCGGGGGGCTGGGGTGTGCTCTGGCCACAGCGCGCTCAAAACTATTATGTTTTCTTTGTAGAGTACTATTGGTGTTTTCATTGGAGTTCATGTAAGAATTTGTTTCTGATGTTCTTTTTTAGACTTGGTACACCAAAAATGGTTGATATTAAAAATGTTAGTGCTTTTTTATCAACACTCAATAAACATTAAAAGCTCAATTCTTCGTTTTTGTGATTTTTTTTCTTGTTAAGTACTCATTGTTTAATATAGTAACATGCAGAACTAATAATTCATCGGTAAAAATATTCTAAATATTAGACCCACTTTTATGCGCCTTGATACCAAAATTAGTCTTACACTCCGAGGGCTACTGCTAGTTATATTTAGGCTATTGCTGAAAGGTTACTGGTTTCTGCCTTTTTATTGGTGTGATGTTTGGTTCTTTCCTAGCAGTCATTTGTTAGCCCACTCTTCCTGTCCGTGTGTGGCGTCTCTTTAGCGATCTTACATGGCTCAGGGGTCGTGAATTCCTGTAGTCTCTGCTTATCTGGGAAGGCCTTTATTTCTGCTGTAAATCTGATAGATAGCTGCACTGGGTGTAGTATTCTAGGTTCACGTTTATCTGCTTTCATACTTTCACATATCTTATGTCCTCCTGACCCGTAGGGTTTCTGCTGAGAAATCTGCTGTTACTCTACTGCGTTTGCCTTTACATGGTGTTCTCCTCTTGGAGCTTTAATGCCGTTTCTTTGTTTTGTCTCTTTATGTCTGAACCGTGGTGTCACGTGGTGTTATGGCTTGTGTCTAGCT